CACCTACTCCCCATATATCGATGTGAGGATATTACATTACAAATGCAGAACGCAATTGGAATTTGAAATATGTGATGTGTGATATATAACAAGTCTGGTTCATACATTGTGTACATTGCTTAGACGTAAATATCCATTATTACTCAGTGTTCTTGGCTACTAAATTATACATACAATTCTATACACTCAAGCAAAATCATACTGAAACAAAAAGCAAGATTTGATTCGTTATAAAATGATCTTTTCTGAGATTATTCTTTACATGTTATGTCAATCTTTTCATATTCAGAAATAAGACTTTAGGGTGCAAAAATCGATTGCCTTAGAAGATTACAGGAATGTAACTAAATGAGAAATGTGCATGAAATATATTTATCAAAATATGTAAAACTAATTTTGAATAAATTAACATTTTTACAGAACATGCACTTAGTATACTCAGGTATTTGGTTTTCTGTGACAGATGTTTTAATTCATTATTTTTTTTTTTAATGAGAATTGAGATTTCCAGGTAAAAGGCTGTTTGCTATTTAATGATTTGTTTACTTATTCATATAACGTTTATGGTGCATCAGACCTCAATTTTACTTACTATTGCTGATTCTTTGATTTTATCTTAATGAACATTATATCAGCTGTCATATCTAAGTTAAAAAAAAGTATATATTTTTCAGGGATAAAAAAAAAAAAAGTGAAATATTACTGACGAAAAGTACTACCCTTCCATAGGTGTTTGTGTTTATTACATTTTTGCAATTGCAGTACTCAATAGTAATTTCATTGTTAAGGTTTGCTTTGTTTTTTTGTTGGTGCTGGTAGTGTTAATACATCTCATCTCGAATCAGCACGTCATTTACCTCTCCCAGCAGATAAGATGCCTGATGCAAGTCGTTTTCACTCGAAGAAGAACATTTTAGCTGTCTCGTGGGTGTTGTTGTAAAAAAGAACACACATTAAATATTGAGCAAATCACTAAAGTGAAAATGGTATTACAAAACAAAAAGCTATATTTTTCTTTTTTTGTGTGTGTGTGAGAGCAGTTCCTTTTCATGATACTTGTACATTTTGTGTGAGCTTGTGAACGCTAACAGCTAATTAGATCTTGCAGATTGTACCACTGAGCTTTTAATGCCATATTGGACTTGATAGTTCATTAATTCTCAGTGCCCACAATGCCAGTTTTCAGAGCAACGCCTTGCTGATCCGTTCATTGTTGAAAACTGTAAAACCGTGAAAAGAAACCAGTGCTCTGGCTTAACCTACACCTGGCAATGAAAAATGATATTGTGACTTCAAGGAACAATGTACCACAAAACACATCATTATGTGTAACTATCACTTATCATATTCTGTGGAGCCAAGCATTAGCTTTATAAAATAGACTCACAGATATTCATGGAACGGAATGATCGTTACAGCTCAAATACTATGTATTATTTACAAAAGTAACTATTTGGGATATTTTTTTTTTAAAGCTATGACTATCTATGTACTATCAGTCTGTATTCAAAATGCTTTTTTTGCAAAAAAAAATGTTGAGCTCTTGATGGCCTAACTTCATCAGTTGCTACAACAGACTGCCACTGTATCACATATGTTTTATATAATACATTTTCTTATTAATGTGCTAATGAGCGGTAGGGAGGTCAACTAAAGTCTGGTGTGTCCTTTAAGGACCATGCGGTTATCTATTAAAAATAGAAAATCTTTTCATGCAACTTATTTTCTGGAAATCCTAAAGGTCAAGAAATGTCTGATATTTTCTATCTTGTTTTTAAAGGACCACTATAGTGCCAGGAAAACATACTCGTTTTCCTGCCACTATAGTGCCCTGAGGGTGCCCCCACCCTCAGGGGCCCCCTCCCGCCGGGCCCCCCTTCCTAGGGTGAGAAAGGGGTTAAATTTAACTCTTTCTCCAGCGCCGGGCGGGAACTCTCCTCCTCCTCAGCTGAATGCGCATTTGCAGCACGAGCCGCGCGCGCATTCAGCCAGTCTCATAGGAAAGCATTCTCAATGCTTTCCTATGGACGCTGGCGTCTTCTCACTGTGAAAATCACAGTGAGAAGCGCGGAAGCGCCTCTAGCGGCTGTCAATGAGACAGCCACTAGAGGCTGGATTAACCCATTTATAAACATAGCAGAAAAAAGGGTTAATACTAGCTGGACCTGGCACCCAGACCACCTTATTAAGCTGAAGTGGTCTGGGTGCCTATAGTGGTCCTTTAATATAAGCACCATACATAACCAATCACCTGTACATCTGGGCCTTATGGGATATGTAGTTCAGCCTTCATGATTCTACAGTTGTAAGGCAAGCGGAATAGTTAGTTTACTTTGCTGCAGGGGGATTTAGATAGACTGGGGGTCTGGGCATTCAAATGGCAGATGAAATTTAATGTTGACAAATGCAAAGTTATGCACTTCGGCATAAAGAATACACAAGCAACGTATACCCTTAATGGAAGAGAATTAGGGATAACAACACACGAAAAGGACTTGGGAATTGTTGAAGACAACAAACTATGCAACAATGTGCAATGTCAATCAGCAGTGGCCAAGGCCAGTAACTAGTGATGTCCCGAACGGTTCGCCGCGGACTCATCATTGAGTAAACTTTGACCCTGTAAGGTTTGAGTTAAGCTAGATGTTGCACTGTTCTGTCCTCCATCCATATACTGTATATGGCTAACAGCCACCAAAGTTTGGGACAAATAAGGCTCAATGTACTTGGTTCTTTTATTATTATTGTATTGTATTTTTTGCAAAATTTTAATAAACCAGCTATCAATACATTAGTCCGATGGCAACTGGGTGTCCCTGGTTTGTTGATCTCTGCATTAAAGGTACACTCCACTGCCCAAATACAAAATAAATGAAAATCACTGTTTAATAGATATCCCCCAGTTATCCCAATTAATTATGTATTTTCATTGGGGATATACCTAAATTCAGGTGGCAAAACCTGCAGTTCTCTTGTCTGTTGCCTTTGCAAGCTCTCCACTTCCAGGAGCTCTGGGCAATTGCTGCCTCTTGAGGTCAGCTGCATTGAGATAACAAAACCAGGAAGTAACATTACCTGTTGTCTGCTTGAAAGCCAAGGGGGCGTAACCAGGTTAATTTATAAAAGTATAAATTTCTATTGAAATCTGCACTTTTTGCAAAATTAAAAAAAGAGGACACACTCTCACACTCACACATAAAGCTGTTCTGCAAACTAAAGTTGTTTAGAGGTTTGGAGTGACCCTTTAAGCAATTTTAAGGGATGCCCTAAGCACTGCAACACAAACCCCCCCAATATTACTATTTAGGAGTCCCTATTTTGGGCCCAAATCCCTCTGTCCATCTTTTCGATCCTAATGTACCCATTTTCTATGAGAGGAGCTCCATATTGTTGGTTTGTCTGAGTAAATAACAGAGCTCCACGGCAACAATACTCAATAACGTGCTTTTCAACTTCAATAAATGTGTTTAGAAATAAATCTAAAAACAAGCCACATATAATACGGTCTTAAGCTAAATATAAATGTTATACATTTTAGTTGCATACATTATTATTAGTAAATAACCTAAAATGTCTCAGAACAGCCCCACCCATTTATACCTCTAAAACTAACATGTCCCTCACTGTCTATTTGAAATATTAGAAAATATGGTAACAACATATTCTCCCCTGCCTAGTTTATGAATGAAGGAGGTCCACTGTCCTTTTTTACCAATGCACAGTGCCTTATAACTAATCATTTTCAAAAATCCTGCAGATTTTGGTTATTAGCAGTAAGTACAGGAACTTTTTTTTTCTTTCCATTCTTTATTTCATTTGTGCATAGTGTTAGCAACCATGTTTGCACTGCCACGATAGCTGGTGCAAGCAAAATATGTAAACGTGCATTAACATTGGTGTGGCATTGAGAAACATTGCACATTTTTTATTAATCAGATGAGAAAACACGTTAAGGGTTAAACAAGCTAATATGATTCGGCTCACTGATAGCCTGGGATAGTAGTTGGTTGCCCGTGGACGGGTTAGCTCGCCAAGTTCTCAGTGCTTCTTAATACAGGAACTTTTAAAGACTGTCCTCATTTTCTATTTTTAATGTATTTATTTTTTATTGCATTAAAACAGGGAAGAACTACAGCTTAGACTGTCTCTTTAAGTGCATTGTATATAAATCTTAAATGCAAACTTGTAGTTTCCTATGTATTTTGTTATGGATTCAAAGTATGAATCGTCTTTTGTTTTCAAGTCTTTTGGATTTTTCCAAATTGCCAAATGCTGGAACAGTAAAGGTTTTGTTGATTTTTTTTAAGTTTAGCTTTAACTAACAACAGCAGCTTCAAGCAAACCAAACATATTTTAAGAAGAATAAGAATAGAAATATTCCTGAGATCGCATAATACTAAAACTTTATCACCTTACAGTTCTAGCTTTTGTGTTGATATCTGTCTAGACCAAAAACTGTCTTTCGAACTTTGTGTTTAATGCTGGGAATCAGAGGGAGCACAAGGAGTGAAGTGAAGGAGGGGATAGCAAGTTTCCCCTAGTAGGTGCCCGTGCATGCTGACAACAGATGTAAAATATGCACAGAACTGACATTTGGCAGTCTGGAACAGAGTCCAGTGCTGACAAAGCCACATATCCCGGGGAGGTAACTGGTCCCCAGCACAAAAATGCAAATTCCTCTGAAGTAGAAACACTGCACATCCAGGCTCCTACCCACCATGATCAGCGCTTCACCAACTCACTGACGTGGTCTGGTGGTTGGACTAACCTTGTGACTTCATTATTAATTATATACCCATATATTGTTAATATTATTTATAGACCACCAACATATTCTGAAGTACTTTAGAAACATATCAAACACAAAGTGACAAATAATTTAAAGTTTAGAGAAACATAAGATAAGAACTCTGCTTAAGAGACCATGCACACTTTTTAGGATAATAAGCATATACCCACCCTGCCCCAGATTGAGCAGGACATTACTAATTTTGGACAGTCCCACTGTCCTATTTTCCCAGTTTTATCATCCAGAAGCTAAGTTTAAGCGTATTTATGAAACAAGCTTTCTGAACTCAGGGCTTGTCTGTACGGCAGGTTCAGTAACTTTATGAAAAGAAGCAACCCTAAGTGGGCTGGCCAGAAGTCAGATGGGCAGGTATGCCAGGCTCATGCTCTCTTTTGGGGAGGGCATACCACCACTACGTTCTAGAGAAATAGATGTTTTAAACAGATATTAGTAAATAGTCCCAGCACCTCCATTCTTATATTTCCTTTCCTTATACATATCTATTATTTCCAGGCTCAAGAGTCTAGAATTTTCAGTTGCTCATCCACCCCTGATATACATTGGTGTGAACTGTGGAGGTGCAAGCTGTGTATTATTGAGATGCACGTGAAGAAAAAAACAGCCTCTGTATTTCCTTGTAGAGCAGTCTTCCCTTGTCTCCGTGCTGGTTTCCATTCCCTGTCCTTGTGCAGGTTCCTTGGCTGCGCTTCGACCGCCTGCCATGCCGCCCTCATGATCGTTTGCATGTTGTGCATACAATTGCTTTCCTGTAACGGTATCCATCCTTCGTACACCAAGGAATATAATCTCCAACACAGGAGCCTGTATTAGCATAAATGGCCTAGTTCTGTCAGTTTGATTAATTTGCCCCTTTGTCTCCACTCTGTATGATAAGTGCTATTAATGCTCGCAACGCTTCATATGTCAAAGTCTTTCTTTCTAATGACTTGGAAATGTGGTTTGTTTCCCCCCTTTTTTTTCTGTGTTATTTTTCTCATTTAGCATTCTTGTCGAGTATAGATTTATGCTGTGCACTTTCATTATCTTACTGGTCGGGGCTCTGGAATGATTACATATGGTATAGGGTATGTGCATGATCCCAGAGGCAGCTGCTGTTGCTGATGTAGGCTCGAAATAGATCCATCCTACGCTCAGCACTTTTTCCCAGAGCTCTTTAATTTGTAAGTAACAAGCGAGGTATAGGACAGCTTGAATCCTCATTTAGTAAGATGACTCTTTGAATCCGAGTGTAGCACAGTGACTTTGCTCAATTACGAACTGCTGTGTAATTTTTTTTTCTTTCCTTTAAATTCTCGTATTCAGGCGATGACTTCACTGAACATAAATTGTAATATAAGCTTGATTTATAACAAAGTCGGGAAATGACAGGCTCCATTTAAACTAATGGAGCTTGACAGAGCTAAGGTTTAAATTAAATAATCCTATTTGAAAGGGAGCATTTTGGCTTGCTCGATTGATTTAAAATTATTCGGGTTTTTTTTGTTTGGTTTTTTTACATCACCTTATACTACAGAGTTGTCCTTTAAAGGACATGTGTTTTTTTTCTGTATAGTGATTGCATTATATGTATGATAGCAGCAGTTTCATTTTGCACATATATTGTAACAAAGAATTTAAGAATATATTTAGTAATGCAATGTGACATAGACACAATTCTGTAATTATTTATACAGAGTGTTAGATCCTTTTGCCTCATATATGTTAATGGTACTTGATGCCTACATGTGGCATAGGCAACCTTTGGCATTGTAGACAACATCTCTCATAATGCTCTTACATTCATAATGCTGGCAAAGCATTGTGGGAGATGTAGTCCACAACATCTGGAGTGCCAAAGGTTGCTTACCCCTGCCCTAGGTAAACTGTGATTTTGGTGCTCCCAAATTCACATCTCCATTCAAATTTCAAGTATTTGGCATAGGTGTACCATAGACAGCTGCCTAGATTGTCACTGTGAATGGGGAGACTGTGACCGCATGCTTAGTCAAATGATATATTGTATACTGATTGTTTGCATTACCTTGTCATTATTCTGCTGACATAGAGAAGATAGAGTCTATGCGTTTTACTTAAATATGACTCAATGAAAATTATGAAGGTTCTGCTTTTATTTATGGGAAAGTCATGATATCATTGGACACTTAAATGAACCTGTCAACTGAAATATTCCAAGAAGATAAATATATATATATATATATCTTAGCTATAGCAAGGTTAGCAAGTTGTTAATAACAAGAACTTAAAGATCTGGCAATCTGTTTCTATGTATAAGTAACGTTAAAAGAACTGTCACAATTTCTTGTGTACGCATTACATGCACCCTAAAGTAAGTCCAAGTTAGATAGAAATACCTTATTCAAAAAAATGTAATCAGAAAATATTTTATGAGTGAGGTATATGAGCAGAAAAATATTTGATGACTGAGTGATTATAATTGTATTATGAAGGGTTCATGGTGTGTTACTACAGAGTTTCTTCTCTCAGTACAACAGAGTTTCTTTTTCAGTACAAGGGATGGACCACAACAGACTATGACAATGTTCAGCAACATGGCAATCAGATAATTAAATTAACAATAAAATAAAACGCAAATTGAAAAGATGAGCCAGGAAAACTGACAATTTCTATTAAAATAAAATAAAGTATCTTTTCTTTTCCTGGTCAAAAGACAGAAAGCCATCTTCGCTTCTTCAATCTCCCCGTAGTGCTGCATGGTAATAAACAACCTTGAAGGTGACAGAGACAACAAGTAAGAGGGCAAGTAGCTTAGCAACTTGCCTTTTAGCTCATCACCCGTCTGACTCCATATCTCCTGGGGAGAAATCCAATCTGAAAAATGATTGAGACAAGGCTTATTCTTCTCGTGCATATCTCCTCATTGTCATGGCTGGTTCTGTTGACTCATCCTATTAATTTCAGTAATTCGATGTGAAATTGTACTACATTGCATCCTGCTGCTTCAGAGAGATAGAGGGATGTTTTACATTTTTTTCTTGCACATGTACTATCTAGTCTTTTTTACATTTACGGTAATGTCATTTGTTTATTTTGTTCAGCTTTGAATGTTCATAGTAGGTCTTGCTGATTACATCATTTTTAAACTTCTAACAGCTTACACAGAATCATAAAATGTTGAGGTTCAGCACAGGTTTATTGCATGCCTATACACGTATAACATTTCTGTGCATAATCTTTTAATTTAGGGCTATACTTCAAGCATGTATGCATTTTTATTTTACTTTGATGGAGAAAATTATATAACTGAAGTTCTACTTTATGAGATGTCCATCCCTTGAGAGCAACCTGAATAAATTGGTCATCAGATTTGTGATAAATAAGTGCTTTGTATTCATTTGGTTAGAATACTCTATTACAGATTATTCAGTAAAACATTCACCCTCCCTCATACATTACCTTGGCTATAAAGCTAATTCCCTCCCCTGATTTCTATCATGTCTTGTGATGACTCTCTCTATATGTTACTCTGTTCCTACCCCCTACAATGTACACAACAAATGGCATTGTCCCACTGCCCAGTAGACTTTCCTAAGCCCTTTCTTTTGGATGGCTATGAAAGCCCTCTGCATCTATATAAGGTATACTTATAATGCCCTCCATCTTTATTTTGATACTGCATACATGTACCATATTCGTCTTAAAGTGAACCTGTAATGAAAAATGTCACTTAATCAAAATTATATTTAAAAAAATGAATAAAAAATTAACTTGCCTGAAATTGCTTGCTTATACATTGAATACATCATATATCACAAGGACACATAGTGTATTCATTGTAAAATATATTGATTTGCTTATCTTTCCTCCTTTCCATTGCTGCTTTATGGGTGTTACTCTTCGTGTAACACCAACTTCGGGCCTTCCTTCACTTCTGCTCCTCTTCACCTAGTCTCTTCTTTTATTTACCCTACTTGGAACGCATCTCCAAGAAGGGCAAATCTCCTCATCACTACATTCCTATACTAGATACCACTGGGGAGTTTCTACAACAACCACGGTGCTGTGATTAAAATGCGAGGAGTGCAGAAGGACAAATAACTCTCCTTGTCCGTCAATGCCTCGGCACGCCAAGGCATTGAATGAAAGCTGCGGAAAAAAAAAAAAAAAAATTCTCCTAATCTGTACATTTGCTATCAAAACTGCCAGCACAATGTATAGTATGCTCAATCTGAGTATAAATTGTTTGAGGCATGACAGGTCCCTTTAATCTTATTGTCATTATACCATGACATGCCTAACAGAATTGTTAGAAATTATAAGAAAACAAATCCAATCATTCAACAAGAAAGTGCAAGCAGGGAGTGCGATGACATGACCTCACTGTGTGCAATGTCACCTGCAATAAGGCAGGCGTATATTACACAACTATGCCAGTTATCTGCTACATTTCTCTTCCCCTTGAAAATTCAGTCCTGCATAAACGTGATTGTTAACTTTTGCGTTAATAAACAAGTATCCACTTAATTCCTTCAACATGCTCATTAACATACCTGTCCTGAGTTCACCTCCTTTCTTCTCACTCCTCTTCTTACTCATCTGCTGAAGAAGCAAGGATAAAGAACTGTTATGAAATATTGGATGTATTAATAGAGGGGCACAGTAATGTAAATAAGGGGATCGCGGTGAACCCTAGTAAAATTTGCATTTGGACAAGTATATTACACATATTGATGATTTAAAATAAAATTACATTACATTGTTGATCATGATAGACTCAGACATGCACTCATACTTTTAATGAAAGGAACAGTACAGTATAGGGTCAGGAACATAAACATGTATTCCTGACCCTATAGTGTTAAAACCACCATCTACCCCCCTTGCCTCCCTAAATATAGTAAAATCTTACTTGTTTTACAGTCTGCAGCTGTTGCCTCTGCCCCTAATCTGCCTGCATGGCGCACATCACCAGAAGTGATGTTTTAAACCAATCACAATGCTTTCCCATAGGATTGGCTGAGACTTTCAAGTGGGCAGATCGTGGCAGAGCCAGCACAAGTCAAACATAGCCCTGGCCAATTATCATCTCTTCATAGAGATGTATTGAATCAATATCTCCATGAGGAAAGTTCAGTGTCTCCTTGCAGAGGGTGCATGGAAGCATCTACAGCAGCCATCTGTGGTTTGGCCAGTGGAGTTCCTAGGCTGTAATGTAAACACTGCATTTTCTCTGAAAACTGCAAAAAGCCGGCAAAGGCTGACTATAGTCACCATTACAAATACAAAAATATGTCGTTGTTCTGGTGACTATAGTGTCCCTTTAATATTTTATAAATTATACTGAATGTAACAAACATTTTATTTACTCTCATAAAGCTGGCATGCAAGTGCTGCTGTTTTAATATACATTGAGCTTGTTCAGCTAACAGCCTGTCACTATCACCCTGGCATTTCTCACAGTAGCCAACATTATAAAGGTTTAAACACTGCCAGGCATTTCATATACTCACTGCCAGCTTTCCAAGGATACTTTCTGACCTCCAGCTTTGAATGTGTTTAGGTAGGACATCCTGACTATTCTGTTTTTAGTAAACTGTTTTTAGTGCCTGTTGCTAATTTGGTCACGTTGCTGGCGATTCACATTTCACACATTGCTTTTTGGCAAGGATTGCCAACATTTGGATCTGAATCTACAGCAGACGTACCCAGGCTTACACATTAGTATACCCACTAATTCATTATCACTATTAAGAATATAAAAACGCATACTCGCCAGACAAGTTTTAATCATTTCTGGTTGGTTCTCAAGCCATTGGCTCATTGTCTTACATAGTTAAATTTAGGAGTGCAAAAACGAGGCTGCCAAGATCATGTGAAGTCTTCTTTAAATTCATTTTAATTAAAAATTTTTAAAAAATGGCTGTACAGATCTAAAAAGTATCAGCACAATATATAGGCTTTTTTTGTGCTATATGATGGCACATAGGCTGTCACAGGTGACAGAGGCACTTGAATAGTAACATGGACAGCACAAGGTTAACTTGTGGAAGAAAAGTTCCAACAAGGATACCTGCTACAAGACACCAAGTGAAAATTATTTGGCTGTTCTATGTGTATGCTGTCATATATACACGTATAGTAGGTTTTACATCAGGCTCTGTATTTCCTGCATTGGCTGGCTGTCTTTCAAGCTGTGAGGACAATGCTACATACCACATAGGTGTAGTTGCTGAATTCAGATGTAGTAGTTGCTTTGAATGGGGTAAAGGGAACAGGGTACCAGTACCTTGTGGGAACCAACAGGTACGTTAACATTGCTGCAACAGATTAAGTGCCAGCTGATTGAGGAGAGCAGTTTAAAGACTGCGGTATAGCAGACCTGTGACGTTGCTGTAACCTTCCCTTTATCTGGAGGGAAGAAGCAGCTATATATGTGTGCAGTGTGCGCTGACGACAGATGTATTATATGCACAGAATTAGGCAGTCTGGCACGTGTGCTGGGGGTGCAACTGGCCACCAGAACACAACTGAAAATAACTCTGGATGTGCAGTGTTTAAAGTAAAAACGCTGCAAATCCAGACTCATATCACCATAACCACTTCAAAAAGCAGACGTTTTCATGGTGGTTGGAGTAACCCTTTAAAAAGGGAACAATTACTTTCCACAATTTTAATATTATGTTTGCACATAACACAGTGCATGTTGATGACAGACAACATTTGTGCTCACAATTAACACTAGACAGCAAGGAATAGCGTTTTGGACTGCCATAGGTGCAACTAGCACCTGGCACAAAACTGCAAATATCTCTGAATGTTCAGTGTTTCATGCAGAAATGCTGCACATACAGAGATTCCTTTCTCCATGACCACTTCTAAAAGCAGACATGGTCATGGAGACAGGAATACATTTTTAATTTTGAAATTCACTTAGAATTTTGACTTTAGTGAATAACCTTTATAGTATTTACTAACTTTGTGTAAACATTTCTTTTGGCTGGTTCCTTCGAATCAAAAGACTTTTAATCCGCCACCTGAATAAATTGATTTGTCCGACATTTACCTTATTCTATGAATAAGAATCCACAGGTTAATCCTGGATGAATCGATTTGCTTGCGGTGTGGATGAACAGGCTTTTGATTTGGACAAACTGTCTGAAGCAAATTTTTGCACTAGTTTAGTGTTTCCTGTTTGATGTAGATATTATTTTATTTTATTTATTTAGCGCCAACAAATTCCGTAGCGCTGTACAATGGGAAATGTGGCCCATTATTTGTTTGTTAGACTAGGCAGGGATGGGCAACTTTGGCACTCCAGATGTTGTGGCCTACATCCCCCATAATGCTATTACACCCATAATGCTGGCAAGGCATCATGAGAGGTGTAGTCCAAAACATCTGGCGTGCCAAAGGTTGCCTATGCCTGGACTAGAGTTGCACTGTTCCCATTCAAGTGTTGTGGAAGACCATTAATTATGGGTACAATCAGGGGCGTACCTAGAGCATTTGGCACCCGGGGCGGATCCTGTGCTTGGCACCCCCCCCCCCACCCCCCTCCCCAAAAAACAAACAAAAAAAAAACCTGTAAAAAATGTTAAAGGTTTTATTTCTTTTATTTTTACAATTTGTAAACTTTGCAAAACCGTTGTCAGCCCCTCCTACAAAACCCTTGTCCTGCCCCTCCTACAAAACCTCTGTCCTGCCCCTTCTACAAATCCTGTACTGCCCCATCTACAAAACCCCCGCAACCCCCTTCCACAAACCCCCTGCTTATCCCCCCTTATAAAGACTCCTGTCCCAATACAAAACCCCCACCCCCTTCTACAAAATCCCTGCAGCCCTACACACACATTTACAGGCAGACAGTCACACACTCAGTTACAGACAGACAGTCACACACTCAGTTACAGACAGACAGTCACACATACACATTTCCTCCGTGCGGCCAGATTATCAGCTGTTTGCTTGAGTGAGCTGTACTGGCCGCACGGCACCCTAACTACCATGGGACACTGTGCGGCCACAGCTCACACAGCCCCCTCCAGCCAGGGCCAGTACAAGGATTTTTGCCGCCCTAGGCAAAAGTAAAGTTTGCCGCCCCCCATGTGACATGACAATGCCCCAACCATATGATTTGCCATGTTAACTAACGCCAGTGCTGCAGTGCCGCCGTGTTTACATTAAAAGGCCTGCAGGGACAGGCTATAGACACCAGAACCACTACATTAAGCTGAAGTGGTTCTGGGACTATAGTGTTTCTTTAATGTGAGGTAAATTAGAGCTTAGTGCCACGAATAATATACTAGATTGCCTACTTACAACCAGATGAGGGATGATGATGGGCTCTAGCTGCAGTCTGGCTCCTGTGGTGCAGAACAGGCTCTCTGGAGGTGGTTTATGCTGTGGTCACAAAATCAATATTCTGGGAGAACTGGGCAGCTCCATTTGCAATCTGAATCAGGTCTGGGTCCCAGGGTCCACCTTCATGTTCCACCAATGAGTTTGTTCACAGGGGTGGGTGTGTAGGGGTCCCTGTTAATGTGTGTAAGGAATGCATTGTGTGAAATTGTGTTTGTATGTGTAAGGACTGCAAGGTGTGTTTCTGTGTATGTATGGGATGCATTGGATGTGTGTAAGGGGTGCATTGAGTGTGTGTAATGAATGCATTGTGTGTTTCTGTGTGTGTAAGGGATGCATTGTGTGTAACGGTTGCATTGCTTGTGTATGTGTGTCTGTGTGTTTTTCTGTGTGCAAGAGGTGCATTGTGTGTATGTGATGAATGTCAATCTCTCCTCGCGCTCCAATTTCCTTCTCCTCCTCCCAATTTCTCTTTCTCACCCACCCCCCCTTTTCTCTTTCTCACCCCCCCCTTATTTCTCTTTCTCACCCCCTTATTTATCTTTCTCACCCCCCCTTATTTCTCTCTCACCCCTCCTTATTTATCTTTCTCACCCC